TCAGCTACTTTTCAACCTCTTCTTCTGTGTGAACTTCAGCTTTCAACAGTTCTGCACTTTTTTTCAGATGAAAAATTCTGTATTTTTCAGCTCATTTAACATTTTTAGCTTAACTTTAGCAATTATTTCATTTCAGCTCAAAACATTCAGCGATCAGCAAGTATAAAATGCATTTTCTACTTGTTACTTGTTATTAATCTCTCGCTCTCTTCCACAGTACATCCTTCATCCTGTCTCTGCCCTAACCCGCAACCAGTCGCTGCAGATGACTTCCACTCCCTGAGCTTGGGTCTACCAGATGTTTCCTTCCTGTCAAAATGGGCTTTTTCCTTCCACCTGTTGCCAAGTGCTTGCTCATAGGGAGTCATGTGATTGTTGGGGTTTGCTCTGTATTATTGTAGGGTCTTTACCTTAAAATATAAAGGACCTCGAGGTGTCTATTGTTTAATTTTAGGTCTTCTTTGATACAGTGTGATAACCATTTTCATAAATCAGTCAAATGCAGTTTAACTAAAATGGAGGTTAAAGCAGGATGTGCTTTAAGACATCATTGACATGGAGCTTCTGCAGGAATATTCAGAATCATCCCTCCTGATGACTACCGGTTTAAGGAAAAAAAGAGGAAAGACAGCCAATATGCTCAAATTTGCTACAGAAAAGGTGTTAGCGACTACAGCCATATTTTATATACAGTGATGCACATGTATTACATTAGTAGAACATTTAATGATTTTTTATTGTGCTTTTCCCATAGAAAAGGTTTAATATAGTCCTGCTCTAATTTAGACATATTGTGTCATGCGTGAGTTTCTAACTTCCAGTCTGTCTTGAAACTAAATTTAAAGTAAGAAATGAAATGTATACTCTAGCACAAAACGTGAAACAAACTAAACACCCTATGCCGAAATCTCGCAACATCAAAGCGAATATAACTGTAACTGTTTCAAAAAACCGAACTGAGCACATTAGTACTTGTTAAAAGTCCTCATAGTCCTCTTAAAGTTCAGTAAACGAGGTTATGCGAGCATGCTAGGATGGACGACTAAACCTGTGCAGACAAGTTTGGGGTCGCTTCACCTGACCACACGCTAATACTTTAGGCTACACTTAGCCATTTAGACCTATGCTGTACTCCTAACAGGCCCAAGGCTTCTTTACACCGTGAAGACCAGTGAAAACCATGTGCAGGATGGCTCTGATCCTGTGCATCTGTGCCTCTGAGCAGCAGCAGCAGCAGCACCCTCCCCGCCTCCTCCGGGCACTCTGGATTTGAGGATGAGGACGCAGAACATCAGGACCCTCTCTCTCATCCTCTCAAGTATTTTCTACCTGCTTGTAGGAGCCGCAGGTTTTGACGCACTAGAGTCAGAAGGCGAGAGTTCAAGAAAAAAAGGCGCTGGAGCAGAAGCTGAGCGAGCTGAAGAAAAGTACGAGGACGATTTCAACGAGATCTAGTGAGTGGTCCATCAGACAGAGCCGCATCGCGCTGGGAGGCAGTGGAAGTTCGTCGGCTCTTTTTACTTTGCCATCACCGTTATCACTACAATTGGCAAGTATATAATGTTGTG